TTCGATCGATATAGTAAGCCGTAATTTGGGCCCAGGAGTTTCTGAACGTTGATCGATAATGCCTTCGTAGATAGTTTTGTAACAGAAGTCCCGATAGTGGTCAAGGACAATGTGTATTTTATTCGGATTTGATACATCAATTTTGTATAAATATTTTGAAAGTACTTTTTTTTGAATCTTATTATAGGTACTGCGTCTAACTATTACAAATTAATTTGGATAAGTTTTAATTATTATATAATTGTATACAAAAAAGATGTATATATATATGTATATATTGTATATACCCATAAAAGTTCATTTTCCTATCCCTCCGTCTGTCTGTTGAAAACACGATAGAGTCCAAATGGAAGTAGCTAGTGGGCTGAAATTTTGCACAGATATTTTGTATTGATGCAATTTGTTTGGTATTGAAAATGGGCAATATCGGCAGTCTAAAAAGTCTAAAAGTAGTATCTACAGCGGTGAAATTCATCATAAGCATGTCTTATAAGAACCTTAATTTCTTTGGAAAATTTTATAAGAATTGACCCTTAATTTACCCTTCACCCAAACAATCTAACTCCAAAAACAAGTAAGAAAGTATAGTCGGGCGAGGCCGACCATATGATACCCTACACCAGTTATGAATATTAAATGTGATTTATTTTTCATAATAAAGCATTTATCTTCAATATTCCCTTGTTCCGATACATTTAAGCAATTTATGGATGAAAAACTAATTTTCTGAAAGAGGCTTTATATGGAGGCTAGGGGCAAATATGGACCAAGCCCGATAAAATTTTGTGAATATATTTATATTGACATAATATTTTATTGTGCTGAATTTCATCGCGATATTTGTGTTTATAAGTTAATTTGGGACATTCAAGTAATTTTCTGAAGGGGACTTTGTATGGGAGCTAGGGTCAAATGGGGCAGGGTCATCAAGACTTCTATAAAACTTAGTTGTGCCATATTTTATCGATATATCTGTATATTTAACATAATTATGAGCTCAGAAGCCATTTTCGGGGGGTTCTGTTCTATGGGGGCTAGGTGAAATAATGGACCGATTTTAACCATTTGCAACAGGCTTCGTCCTTAGGTCAAATAAAACGTGCGTGCCAAATTTCATCCAATTATCTAAGGTTTACATGGACAGCCAGCTAGCCAGCCAGACGGACGGACGGACATAGCTTAATCGACTCAGAAAACGATTCTAAGCCGATTGGTATACTTTAAGGTGGTCTAGGACGAATATTTTTGTATGTTATACACATCAGCACAAATCCAATATGCCCTCCCCACTAAAGTGGTGTAGGGTATAATTACTTTAATATCCATAAATTGCTTAAAAATCCCACTGTATCGTTTAAATTTGAAATTAACAAGTTTTATAGGAACCAAAATCTTTTTGTAAATTTTTTTAAGGATCGGTCCATTATTGACCCTACCTTCAGAAAATAATTTTAGCGGTCTATCTATCTTTAAGAAGATATTGGCCCCAAGCCCCCATAAAAGGTCCCTTTTAAAAATTTTATCAACACTGATGGATAGCAATGAAATTTGACAAAACAAGTATTATTTAAACCAAAGTCTTTGTTATATTTTATGAGGATCGACCAATAATTGGCCCTACCCCCATATAAGGTCCCTTAGATTAATTTAACGCTTAAAATGATAGTATGGCGATGAAACTTGATATAAACAAATTTTATAGGAATCAAAATTCCTTTACAAAATTCTATGTGGATCGGTCTACAGTTGATCATACTTCCAATATAATTCTTTTTTAAAGATAATAACACAGTGAGACAAAATAAACGAAAATTGAAATACCTGGGAAGTGATACTATTTTTCTGAAAGGTGGATCCGAGTAGAATAAGAATATGTTTTTGAAAGCACCAAGCACCTCCAAAATCTTGAGTTACAGATAGAAAACCGGTTTTTCGTACCTTTAAGCACTTATAAGTCATTAACTTAGTTGAATCCGAACCGATTTCAAGTTTATCCACGGATTTAGAAAGCAGAAGCTGAGGCCTTTATAATGACATAAGTAACCTGGAGAGATATGTGTGAATTTCATCAGCAAACATATGTTTTATTTTAGTTTTGCACCGTTGTCCAAATTTGGAGATGTTCTTATAAAGTATTTCATGTAGGAACATTATTATTTATTAACTACCCAGCAAAATATTTGCTTACAAATTCACTAGAAAAATCACCAGAATTCATCGAGTAAAGTGCTTACAATTCTACTAGAAAAAGTACTTATTTTTGTTTGAGATGTTCCAAAAGTAAGTCAATATTATTTGGTTGGAAATAAGTTGTTTTTTAGTAGAGTTATTTATAGAATATTTATGAAAAAATAAAAATAAAAAGTCGAGACAGACTGGGGTTGAACTCAGTACCTTCCATCTGCCAGTTGAATGCTACTCTTACTACACCACTGCTTTGCTGTTTTATTGTGCGTCAAATAATAGTTTTCACACACAAATACTCTTTTATTTTCTGTTTGTCTAAAAATTGACATTTGATATCGTGTGCACAAAAAAAAGGAAAAAAACAGAAAAACTAACTGTTTTATTTTTGTTTGTTTCTTTATTTTGATTTATTTTAGACTTTACCTACAAAGTAAGTCATTAATGAAGTACTTAATGGTAATCATTGTAAGCAAAGATTTTGCTGGGTAATTAGAAACCCATGTTTATTCATGAGTAAAACGCAACTTTGTTTTTAAAAATCCGTTAGCAATTGACGATGTTATTGATCTTTTTCTTAATACAAAATCTTTTCAAAACTGATTTTCCGAAAGATGCTTTATATGGGGGATAGGGCTAAATATGGTCCGATCCTCCTACAATTTGGAGGAAGTATTTAGATTTATATAAAAGTTATTTAAGCTGAATTTCATCGTGATATTGATATAATTAAGAGAATTATGTAATTAAGTCGCTTTCCAAAGGAGGATTTGCATGGGGACTAGGGTCAAATTAGGTCCAAACAATACATAAATCGGTATATATGAGTTTTCTGTAATCTTTAGTGATACTGCTGATTCTTTAGACAATACGGTATTATTTGACCATAGTCCCCATACAAACCCTCCTGCAGAAAATGACTCCAATTCCATAATTATCCTCTTAATATTAATATCACAATGAAAATCAGCACAAATAACTTTTATATAAACATAAATCCTTCCACCAAATTTTTCGTGGATCGGTCCATATTTAACCCTATCCCCCATATAAAACATCCTTCAGAAAATCAGTTTATGAACACTTTTGTATTAAGAAGAAGATCAATAACGTCGCCAATTGCTAGCGGATTTTTGAAAACAAAGTTGCGTTTTTCTCATGAATAGACAGGGTTTTCTAATCAATTAATAAATAGTACGGCTCCTATATAAATAATTTCAAAAAACAACTCCAAACTTGGACAACGGTGCATAACTAAAATAAAAATATGTTTGCTGATGAAATTCACACATATCTCTCCAGGTTACTTAAACGTTATATGTATATGTCATTATAAAGGCCTCAGCTTCTGCTTTCTAAGTCCGTGGATAAACTTGAAATCGGTTCGGATTCAACTAAGTTAATGACTTATAAGTGCTTAAAGTTACGAAAAACCGGGTTTTTATCCGTAACTCAAGATTTTGGAGGTGTTTGGCAAATTTCAAAAACATATTCTTATTCTACTCGGATCCACCTTTCAGAAAAATAGTGTCACTTCCCAGGTATTTATTTTTGTCGCATAGTGTAATTTATACTCCAAAATCTGTTTAAATATGATAACAAAATGTTGAATAAATTTAATAAATAAGTAAATTGTGGTGACAAATAAAAAAAGGATCGATTCATATAGAATAGTTCCATCTTCCCACTAAAGTGGTGTAGGGTATAATGATGATAATTTGATTTACTAAGGTTTTTGGAAGAAAAAATTAAACAAAAATTTGAAGTTTTTATTTTTTAAAAATTATTTTAATAAATTTATTTTGCAAATAAATATAAACAAATTTTGTTAATTATTGTGTTAGAACAAGCTTTGTTTATATTTTTATAATACTATATATAGTGACTAATATAAATTGATTTACATAAAATATACATAAAGTCGTCAATTTTAACACAGTTTTTAAAGAAGAGAATATTAAAATAGATTAATTTTTTTATATTTCAAAAGAATTTCAAGATGCTTATAAACAAAACAAATATGATTTGTTTTAATAAAGTGTCAAAATGTTTATCCCCCTAGAAAACAATGATTAAGCAAAGGTTTCATTTTAAAAACCAAAAAAAAAAAAATAATTCTTAAAATTTTGTGAAACTAAAAAATTAAATAAAAATTGAAAATTATGGAAAATACGTAGACATGACAAATATTAAACTTATATGTATTAATGTAATTAATACAAATAATGTGATGTTTGTGTTCTTTGTTATATTTTTGGGATTTTAGGTTTAAAATATTTTAAATTTTATTGAACTCAATACTAAAATACGTATTTAACCAATACCACAACTACCCGGTATTAAAATAAAATATTTCGAAATAAAGAGCAATAACTGAAATACTCTTACAAACATGTATAAATAAATATTAAAGTGATTTGCTCTACTAAGTATTTTAGAGTAAAATTTAAACAAGAGAACTTAAAACAAGTACAAAGAATTTATTAAAATAACAACAAATACAATGGTAATGTGAGCAAAAGATGAGAATAAATAATTAAAATTGAAATATTTAAAAAAAAAGTAATACAGGCATAAACCTATACATACAAATGAATACATAATCTGCATTAAAATTGAGATCAAAATTCAAGAAAACACATACACAAACTGTTTTAAAAAAATGCCTGCAAACGCATTGTTTTTTTTTCAAACTTTCGATGTATTGGTGCTCCAAACTCATCTTTATTGAATGGTTCAGTAAGAAAAAAAATGAAGCTGATTTTTTAGGTTTCAATACAACAAATCAGGGCTTTTTATATAAATGCGACTTGTTAAGAACAGACAACAAACACTCCTGTTTTAGCATTCAAAGCTTAAGGACTAAAACGAACTTGAAATTCATAATATTAAAATAAATTATAAAAAAATCTATAAAATATATTTAAGTGTTTTTTTGAAATATTTTTAAAATAAAATGAATAAATTTATTGTATTTGTAACAATAGTGGTGAGTAAAAAGTTTAAAAAAATGAAAAAAAAAATAATTATTAAAAAAATTGCTATCCAAAGAACTGACAATAAAATTTGTTAAATAACAAAAAGTAACTGTGAACACTAAAAATATTGCTTAAGAAATTGTTAACTAAAAATATAAATCATACGACCGGTAGTGCCATGTTTGCAACAACAGCAATAAAAGTGAAATTTATAGTTATAGGAAATAACCATAAATTAATTAAAAATAATTTGTTTATATTAATGGACAAATAACCAGTTTGAAAAAAATTTCTTCCTTTTGTGAAAATTTAAAAAAATCCAAAAACTAATTTATAACAATTTTAAATAACTTTCAAAGTGTGTTTTTAATAACAAAGAGTACATAATCCATCAAGTTTAAAGTAAAAAGAACAAAAAATTAATTATATTTTTAAAAGCCTACATATTTGTCTATTTCTAAAAAAAATTGCAAAAAAAAAGTTATTAATTCAACTACTTCTAGAAGCTTGCTGTATGTGGTAGCTTCATTTCTGCACACTCTCTACCATTTGACATTGAAATTTTGTTTTTGATAAAAATCATTCTATTATACAATTAAATGAGAAAAAATACACATATATCCAGTTTTATTATTTTTGGCAAAAAAAAAAATTAATTTTGTTTTCTTAATTTAAGTCATAAAAATGTATTAAAATTTTATTAGAATTCGATTAAGCAAGGAATGTTGCAAAATTAACATTTAAATGCAAAATTTCAATAAAATCAATAAAAGCTGTTAAAAGCTGTTTATATCTTAATTGTTTTTAAAACAAAAACAACTAAAATTTTTGGTAATTAACTAATTGCTAATAAAAAGCTTTAAAGCAATATAAAAAACCTTTGTAATACTTATAATAATAATATCTAACAGGAAATATTAAAGTAACCTTCAGTTTTTGTAAAATGTTAAACAATTAAGGTTAGATTAGGTTGATGGGAGGATGTATACTATAATAAATCCGAAGAAATACACCTAGGCCACTATCCGGTCTGTTGTGCGCTCTTTATTATGAAAAAAAAAGTTGTGCACTAAATCAATCAATCAATGTTCAGAAACTGGAACGTAATTCCTGTCAGGAATGTTATTTCCGGAATAACATTACTTTCAAGATACTTGGATCTAACTTCGGCGAATACCTGACAGTGGTAAAGAAAGTGCTCCAGAGTTTCACTGTCCTCTACACATGCTCTACATTCGTCTGAATCCGCATGTCCAATTTTGTACAGATGTGCTTGTAATTCTGTGTGTCCACTCAGAATACGTACCATCATACTAACTTCAGACTTACTCATTTTGAGGAGATTTCTCCTCTTGTTCTCGTCAGGGTCACCCCATAGGACCTTTGTGGTTCTACCCATCGCTTCATTATTCCAAGAGGCCTTATGGCATTCTTTCACCCATATTTTTAATTCAGCTTTTGTTGCCGCGAACGGTTTTACGTTTGTTAGGTTAACTACCTCGAGCTCCCTTCCCTTTAAAGCTATTACATTCGCCTTTTCGTAGCCGACTACTCCCGAGTAGTCTGGTACCCATATGGTGTAAACCTTACTTCTAAGAGAGTATTCGGTTAAAGCTTTCCTATAATCCAATCTCCCTGATTGCCTTCTGGCTGTCGGTAAATATATTAAGGGCTGTGGGCGCCATATTTATTCTAATCCAATTTACACATTTCGTTATTGCTCGGACTTCTGGCTGGAAGCTTGTGTTATGATTAGGTATATTTCTGTTTCTGGGTCTTCAATTTAGAACTCCAGGCCCACTTTGTCCCATCCGTGTAACAACGGATTCCTACTGGTATTGTTTCTGAATATAAAGAAGAAAGAATACTAGATCGGATGTAAAGAAATACATCTACTTAGGCCGCTATCAAGCCCAACACTTCGACAAATGGTCAATGAAACCAAAAGAGACAGTTATTTCCACTAACTTCTAATTCTAATTCCTTTAGTCACGAATGTACTCTTTTTAAACGATAGTAAAGACATTCGTCACTTTAGCGCCCCCTTTGTAAGCGAGAGCAGAGACAGTTGTCACTTTACATTCCCTGAGTACTATAGAGAGTAGACAGATAAAAAACCAAACTTAAGCAAAAATGTTCATTACTCGGACTTGTTCTTTCTGAGGAGGCTTCTCTCGTTATGGTCACGCCCTACAAACCTTGTGGTTCTACCCACAGTTTAATTAATGCAAGTAGCAGTGTGTGCTATTATCGCCCATGTTTTTAATTTAGCCTTGGATGCATTCAAAGGTTTTGCAGGTTAACTCCCTTAAGTTCCCATCCCTTTAGCAAGTACAAGTTCATGAATACACATTCGATATCATGGCTATCGAAGAAATCATGTTCCATCATTCATCCTGCTGTAATTTGGTACAGTTGGACCGTTATCCTGTGTGTCCACTCATACTATCCTTTGAATTGGAATTCTTTATGAGGAGACTTCATCCTTCTTACGTTATATTCACGTCCTAGAATCCTTGTGGTTCTAATTATTCCCAGTGGCAGTATATGCTTTTCGAATGGTTTTGCACAAGTCGGTCTGTTTAGGCCCACAAAACTATACTTATCTATATATTTCTTGATCCTTATTAGACTCTATGATGATTTTAGTCTAATATTTTCGATAAATATTTGTTTAGCAGTATCGGTCAACGATATTTACTCATATTTGACCGAGCCCTTTCCCTTGAACAAGTTTCACAGACTACTCACTGCCAGGAGTGAGCTTTACTTGGGTCCTATGGGTCCCTTTGTATTTTCTGGAAAGAAAGATAGTAAAAGAGAATGAAAGGTGGAGAAGAAGGATTATGGAGATAGTGTATACAAGGGTAGTAAAGAAGACAGAAGAAGACGGAGATGAAATTAACATTCTAATTGTTAGAAAGCTAAAAGTCATCTAAACTAAGTCCACACCCATGTTGACGAATTAAGGAATGCAAGAATTCATTTCAGTTGAACATCTGACAGATCAAATAGATCAGAGAAGTGTGACAACCCCAAAGTTTGATAACGAATCGTTTCTAGGGCCGGGCAGTTACACAGAAGATGAGTAATTGTTTCATTCTGGCAGCTTCTACAGAAGTCATTAAGAATGATTTCTTTACAAATGTTTTGCATTATTAAGCCCTTCATTTTTGTAAAAAGGATATATGTAAGTTTGTCATACCGTTTGTTAATTCCACAATATAATTTTCCGAACCCCTAAGGTATATATGCATATTCCGAGTCCTTAAAGAAAAAGAAATAGATTAAGCCATGTCCTTCTGTCTGTCTGTCTGTCTGTCTGTACGTTTGTATGTCAATTGAAATCTGTTTTCTTAAAGACCCCAGATATCTTTGGGATCTAGAACTTCAATAGCTCTTCAATTTAGATTAATAGTTAAACGATTATGATGAATCTTTGTTATATATACATTCTTCTTTCATTCTTAAATTTTCTTTAAACAATAAATCTTCTCAATTGCTAAAATCATAAAATATAATCATTTAACGATTAGACTAATTGCAATTTAAAGCAAAGCAAATTTTTAATAATTAATTTAATTTAATTTTCAAAACAAAAAAAATACCTTAATTATTTTTGCCTTTTTTAGCACCTCCAATTTAAATAAATCATTTCACTTTTAATAGATTTAAAACAAAACGTTTTTTTCATATATTTAACATTCTTTGCGGTCTAAAATCATAAGTCATAAACTAAAATGACGGTTAGTTTTTATGATTTTGTTTTTTCCACTTAAACTATAAAAAAAAGCAAAAACAAATTTATGATTTTGCAAATTTTATGAGACACTAAAGTTAACAATTAACATTTATCAGTTCATAAATAAAATCGTCTAAATTAAATAACCAACAAAAATAAAGAATCAAAATAAAAACAAAAACAAAAAAATAAAACATTTAAGACCCAATTTTCAAGATCAAAAGTGTATCAGTTAAGACATGTTTAAATTCCCCCAGAAAGTGACGAGATTTCAACAAATTCGTCATTAGTTTAAGAAACTAACAACAACAAAACAATATTGTTGAAATTTGTTTCCCAAAAACAACAGCTAAAACAAAAAAATATCTTTCAAGTTAATAAATTAATTTAAATTAATAATTAACAACAACTACATTTAAATACATACAAAAAACAGTTACCAAATAATAAAAACAGAAAACTTCCTCCATAAAGTTCTTTAACCCTGTGGCCATACCTTTGGCCAACATTATTCATCAGCCAGAGAGACATTCAATACACCTGATTTGTAGTAAAAGATAAAAAAACACAAGAAAAAAAACGTTAACCAGATGGATGTTTGATGGATGTATTTTTAAAAATAACAATAATAATGAAGTATTTACACTCCCAGTCTCATTATTAACGGTTGAAATTTAAAAAAAAAAAAAAAACAACAAAAAAACCATCGGTATTCCAAAATTAAATCATTTAACCTTTAATATTTGTTTTAAATATATTAAAATACCTTTAAAGGACAGACAATTAAAAATACTAACTAAATATTTAATTAATACAAATAGACCGCACTATATCACCGAGGGATACAATTTAGTTATAGTTTCAGTTATTTTGAAGATGTTTGTACATTCAAACAATTAATCACAGTTACGCCAACTAAATTAGTTTTATGACTTTTTGTGTTTATGTTTAACAGTGGAATCTGAATTATACTAATCAGAAATAAACAATTTAAGAAAAGTGCTTATATGAACAACCTCCTGTCATTTTATTCATAGTAATTACTTAGAGTTATAGTGAGTTTTAAGCCCGAACATTCAGGGAATATGAATTCTTTGGTCCCCCTGACAATCAATCGATGCTTTCTTTAGATTTGATAAAATAAATCTTATAAGTGTGGTGCAGGCATGGGGGGTTATGATTACACAAAGTAATTCATTACATGGTCAATTACAATTACTTGTAATGTGTAATTGACCAATAACCAATAACAAGTACAATTACAAGTTTTGCCAATTACAATTACTTGTAATTGTAATTGAAGTTTCCAATTAAAACTACTTCTAATTGTCTTTAAGGTATTACTAATTACAAATTACATTTAATTATAATTACAAGTAATTGTAATTGGTAAAGCTTCAATTACAATTACTTGAAATGTAATTGTAATTGAAAATGTAGTCATTACTCCCCAACCCTGGTATAGCGGAAATGTTCTATAAAAGGTATTGTTACGATTATTTCTGTTTTTCAACTTCGGCAGTAGACTTCCCGATTTCAGTCTTGCCTCTTTAATCTAAATGACAATTTCGTCCAAAAAGTCAAACAGATTTTAATCCCTTCTAAATCCCGTACGTACTGGCATTGGTCAATATAACAGAGAAAAAGAGACCTCCAATTACTGCTCAATCAGCACTTGTCGGTATTCTGATTTGAATAATATTGACAAAATTTTGTTCAAAAATTATATAAACAAACATTACAAAAGTAGTTTCCGGGAAATAAATTGCATTATGGACCGATGCATATATAATTGAAAGATTTATATTTTCGAATTTAATAAATTAAGTATTTATGAGAGTTAAACCGATCCCTACAGTGGATCAGATTAATTACAGATTGTAGATACCCAAACAGTTTTTAAATTATAGACTTGTATCTGAAGTTAAAGCGATTTGCCACCTATTTTGAACCAATTTTTATCCTATATTGTAGATTTCGGTATGTATATATCTGGTTTACCAATTCACTTTCAGCTATAACGATCAACTGGAATTTCGACATTTTTAGTGGCTAATCTAAAAGAATTTATATTTCCGAAGAAGTAGCGAAAGGGGTGGAGTCGAACAAGGTAAAATCTCAGTTCGCATCACCAATCATAGACCAATAGAATTAGGTAATCCTCATTCTATAGCACTTGCCCTTGACGGCGGTGGCCTGGCTAACGTCATTCTAAAAGAAATATGGACCGATGTCGCTATCAACCCAACATCCACACCAAACAGTCACTTTTTCCGAACACATTTAAATGCATTTGGATCTCATGTGGAGTCATATCGTCTCAAATTCAACAATTATGTTTTTTTTTTTAATCCCACTGAACCAAAAATTGGTTCAGATTTTTTACGAAAGTTATGGTCAGTTTTATCACTATAATAGGGAGAATATTATGGGCAGATGTTTATGGCTCATACAAATGTTCATTATTCATCTACCTTAAAGTATGTATATCGATTAAGAATCAGTTCCTGATTCCATTTAACGATATCTGTGCGTCCATGTAAACCCTGTATCCAAAGTGGAGGTCGCAATGAACGAATGAATTTGTTAGACGTATCATCTTTGGCGCAAAAACGTACCCCTTTGATTTTGGTTAAAATCGGTCTATTATTTCATACAGTCCTATATAACCGAAAAAGCCTAATAGAGCTTGCAGCTCATAATTACGTTGATTAGACTAGTATCTCTATAAAAATCGGTACAACTAAGTTTTATATTTTCGATTTTCGCAATGATCGGGCCAAAGTTGACTTCAGTCCCCCTTAAAAAATACAATTAAAACAATGACCTGAATCTCTATAACTCACTATATATATAGTATCTCGATCAGTCATAAACAATATTCAGATAAACATAAATTCTTACACAACATGTCGTGAAGATCGGCTCATATTTGACTCTAACCCCCATGGATATAAATGGTTTAATCTAAAAAATAAATCACATTTTAAATACCTAACTGTTGAATCATATAGTCAGCCATGTCTGGCTTTACTTTCTTCCATGTTTATCATCTGCATGTGCTGTAGAATGCTGTATCCGTCAATTGTGATGCGATAGATCATGTTGAAACCATATGACCACTATCGGCTTCCAAAGTTCGGAAGACTCTTTTTATTAGTTTACAATTAATAGAGCTTCCACTGTAAATGCATTTTATAGTTTAATTTAAAAAGAAGTAATAAAAATATAAACATGACTACTGCCTTTTTAAAAAAGACGCCAAAAAACCCAAAAAATAAGTTGGCAAAAAAACATTAAAGAATGTGTTTTAAATACCACAAAGCAAAATTTTCAAATTAATTAGATAAACACACCCTACAACACGTCTATCAGCAAATATATTTTTTTTTTAACAAATAAACATAACAAAACAATGATAAATAAATTAATAATTACTTTTAATTATTGTTGCGAAATAAAACAAAAAACTAATTACTTATTTATTTTTATATCTTTGCAGGCTGGCGTTGCTTTGTGTAATGCTGCACCAGCTCCACAAAACGATGGCAAGTATCGTCCGCATAATGATGGCAAATATCATCCGCAAGCTCATAAAGAAGGTATTTCCTTACGAAATTAATTTTTTCTTTGTAATATTGTTGTAAGCAACTTTTCGCTATTTGATGCATGTGCTGTATAAATTAAAATATACCTAACCAGTGTATGCTGCATGTAGAGTACTACAATTGAAATATTGCAATAACAAAATTATTAATTTCGTTTGAATTTGTAGAGTAAACGTAATATATTTGCTGGATTTAATGCTGGAGAAATTGAGTTATTAATTATTAATTAATAATTGTGTAACATATTGTAAAAATATAAAGAAACTAATCTTTTTAATATTTTAAAAATCAAGAAAATTATTTGTATAAAAATTTAGTTCAAAAATCATTAATTTTTTAACCTTTTTTATTTAAAATTTGTTCTATGAACCTTTGACAAATGATTTTGAATAAGACAGTTAAACTTTTTTCATATTATTCTCTTGGTTTTTAAAATTTTATTTTGTTCTTATCAAAAACATTTAAATTTTCTACTAATATTTTCCCACTTTTACTAACATTTCCTTGTAAAAACCATGTATATTTCATACTAAAAGTTTAAAACCAAATGCAAAACTAATTAGTTAATAAAGTAATATAATGATATAAAAACTGTCAAAGTTTGTCAGTTTAAGATTGAACGAATATTTCAAAAATTTGTTCAGGAATCAATATATCAGGCTTGGAGGGTAATAATTACATTAGCAATTACCTACGTGGTCAATGGTAATTGGAAATTCTTCTGTTACAATTACTTCAAATAATAATTGAAAATGTAATCATTAAGCCCAAAGCCTCAAACCTATTGGAATAATCCAAAAAAAGTCAAACATTATATAATCGGATATCTTCACTCACATAAATAGTTTTAAATATCATTTCAAATAACCAAAGCTTATAGCAAACATCATTAGTCTTATTCACTCTCCATCTAGACCAGGTTTTGGTAATGAACTCCCCCATTAGCTCCCACATTAGCTCTCACATTACTCACACAAATTCAATAGCTCACTCATGAGATCATTCTCACTCTCTGCCAATACCTGATCTAGACTCATTATACCCTAAACCACTTTAGTAGGGAGGGTATATAGGGTTTGTAACGCACAAAAATATTCGTCCTATACCCCTTAAAGTAAACCAATCGGATTAGAATCATTTTCTGAATTCCGTCCGTCCGTCTAGCTGGCTGTCCATGTAAACCTTGTGCGCAAGGTACAATTTTCAATATAATTGGATGATATTTTTGGCCCAAGGATGAAGCCTATTGAAAATGGTTAAAATCGGCCCATTATTTCACCTGGCCCTCATACAACAAAACCCCCCAAAATGGGCCTTTGAGCTTATAATTATGTTAAATATACCTGTATCTTGATAAAAAGCGACACAAATAAGTTTTATATAATCATTGATGACCTTGCCAAATTTCATAAAGATCCGCCCCCATTTGACCCTAGCTCGCATACAAATTCCCCTTAAGAAAATGATTTCAATGTCCAAAATTCACATAAAAACACCAATATCGCGATGATTTTCAGCACAAAATAAATATTATATAGTAAATATAAATCTAATCACAAAATTGTTTGGGGATAGGTTCATGTTTGCACCTAGCCCCCATATAAACCCTCTTTCAGAAAATTTGTTTTTCGTCCATAAATTGCTTAAATGTAACGGAAACAAGGTATTTCTTATGAATATAAATCACGTTTAATATTCATACCTGGGTAGGGTATCATATGGTCGGCCACCCCCGACTATACATTCTTACTTGTTTTTTGTTTTAGTAATAAGAACCAAAAATAAGTCGAGACAACTAACATTGATCAGCTTTTCATTCAAGCTCATTCCGAAATCTCAAAGAATTAATAATAATATTTAGCTGGTTGCTAATTTACACCAATATATTCTTGATTTGGAGCATCAACCTGACCAGAGTCAGTGTTGTCTGTATAAAATATAGGGGCCAAATTATCACATGCGTGTTCTAACGCTTGTTTGATCACGCAAGGGGTAATTTCGTATCGAAAACAAATTTCGATATCCAAATTAAGCTAAAAAGTACAACATTTCTTGATTAATATCGAATGTCGATTTTACTTGATCACGTATAGGCAGCAGATCATGGGTCGTGTCTTAGGGCTATGTTAATATCTCTCTAGTTTAACTAGAGATTTAAGTGACATAAACTTTAATAATGCTTCATGAAACTTTTCTTCTAAACTTTAAGCTCCTATGAATGTTGAAGCATTGTTTGTTTACTTATACAAAGCTTTTAACATTCTGAATCTAAAAAATTATTTCGAAAGTGAAATTTCAATAAAATCCCCTTTTTTCTATTCCCCTCTATTCTTCTCTTTTCTTGAATTCTAATGTTTTTGAAGGCATTAATTAAAAAATATTACTCATAATAACTTAAATTTTATATTTCTTATAGGCCTACGTTACGATTATAGAGATTATGCTGGTAAAAACAAATTTATTTAAAACAAAAGTCTTTATATCTATCAAAAACTTGATTCTATTTTACTCTAAAACAAATCATGCAATATTTTAAAACTCATTTAACATTTTAAAACAAATTAACCCTAAAAAACTAAATATAAAACAGTTATCGGCAAATAAATCTCTCAAAAGCTCTCTTGTAATCAAACAAAATTAGCTAGAGAGCTTATTTGTTACTCTCAGCCCATAACTGATTTAAATAAAAGTTTTTTGTATTGAAATAAACGTCCAAAATTAAGCATACACTAGCTCCTGAATGAGGCAAACTTTTCAGGAGCTTTGGTTCAAGGACTTTTACATATATTTGTATATTTCTTCAAATTTTAATTTGAAGAAATTCTCATATTTTCCTTATATACTTAATAATTAGAAATTATCTTTTCCTTTCCGAACTAATTTTCCCTTGTGATGTCTCTATATGTCATGTGTTGTCAATATTTCTCATTTTATATTAAATCAATAAAATTTTTATATCTTTTATAGGCCAACAACAGGGCTATACAGATGCTGCTGGTAAACATAATAATTATATATAAATTTCTTAACATATTTCTCATAAATCATACAAACATAAATTCTTATTAAATGACAAATTCACTATAGTATTTTCAAACACAGATTTTAAATTCAAAATCACAATGACCTTAAACTTGATAATCCAAAAAACCGACAAAAAAGTTCTTATCAAGAATTAAGAAATGAAAAAACAAGAATCTTTTGAAATATAAAATCATTGACCTAATTTTGATAAATTAAGACAAAAAAACAATAAATATTTTACAGAGAAAAGAAACATCTATTAACGCTCGAGTGCCGTTTAATGCAATAAAAATTTTACACAGAATTGTTTTTGTCAATGAATGTTCTGGTAAAATTGAACGAAAACTGATACGGGAAGTATGTTCATTGAGTCCAATGATTAATGTATTAAATATATTCCTATTGAATATTAAAACATTTCCAATATTTGGATTTATGTATATTTTTAGAAATTGATATTCAGATATTTAACATTTAAGAATCGGACATGTCGAATTTATATAGTTTCTTCTTTGACTTCTTTAATTTACAAAGCTTTGAGCTTTCACCTTTTTAAAGCTTTAAGTTTCCGTAATCTTTTGTTTCAACAGCTTTTAGCTTTTTCTAAAAGCTCTACTTTTAGCTGTGAACTAAATTGTATATTTTTTAAGATTTAAAATGTTGAAACGAAACTTTAAACTATGGTATTTTTAATACTAGCTTTTGTCTCTTTGTTAAAGCTCTTCATTTAGTCAAATAAATTATATATATATATATGAAGATCATATTATTGATATAAATCGTTAAGCATTGAGCTTTTTAGTTGTCAACTAAATTACATATTTTTAAAGGTTTATAATGTTGAAATTAAACTTTAAACTTTGGTCTTTTTAAAGCTTTCAGTTTTTAAATCCGAACTTAGGACTTTTGGTAAAAGCTTCTTAGTGAAATAATTTATATGTACATAAAGTTCATATTATCGATATTAAACATAAAACATTGGGCTTTTGAAAGCTTTTAGTTTTTAAAATTAGCTTATATTTGATTTATTAACAAGCTTTTGAGTTTTTACAAACCGCAAATTTTCGAACTTTTTGCCTTGATTCATAAATCAATTCTAAACAAAATTTTCTTTGGTCGACAAAATTCGAAAAAAGTGGAAATCCAAAAAACCATAAGTTTTTAAGCTTTTCATCGAAAAACGAAGAAGTTATGTCTTGGCTCTGTTATAACGTTTCAATAGGAACCAAAATGGCATTTCTTCAAATTTCAATCGTTAAGGAGATCAGATTCAGATTCACCTCAGCTTAATCCTTTAGAAAAGTATGTCTTGGCTCTGTTATAACGTATCAATGAGGTCCAGAATGGCATTTCTTCAAATTTCAATCGTTAAAGAGAATCAGATTCACATTCACTTCAGCTTATTCCTTCAGAAAAGCACACAGTGGGAAAAAGAAATATACACGCCTGGTACCAAATTGATACCAAACTGTTTATAATTTTTCAATACCATTCGTTGTCAAAGTATATACCTACGTACGACAACATTATGTAATGTTGACAACATTGCAAAAATTAGTTGTCGAAATCTAAATTGTATACACATCCGTTGTCTAAATGTTAACTAACGTGGTAAGTTCACTATCGACAAACAATCCGTTGCCAATAGTGAGCTTACCACGTTTGTTAACATTTAGACAACGGGTGTGTATAAAATTTAGATTTCGACAACGAATTGTTGCAATGTTGACAACGTTGCATTGTCAACATTACATAGTCAACGGATGTTATTGAAAAATTGTAAACTCTTTGGTGTCAATTTGGTACCAGGCGTGTATCCTGTGTATACTTTAGTTTCTGCGTTTAAAATGTATCGGCTTGTATAACCTCGACTTTTTAACAAAAGTTTGCCTTTCTAAAGATCGTTTTATACAATATATTTTTTATATAATATTTGAGCAAATCTGACATAAACATTAAAAGTAGTTTAGTTATATATTTTTAAGCTGCTTTGTAAAATATTGAATTGTTTTCTTATCACATTTCATAACCAAACTCATTTGACACTAACTCATATTTGAAAAATTAAATTTAAGGAATTGCTTTAGTTACAGGGTAAGCCCTACGGCTTCTAATCCCGGTTTCAAAGCTTCTCTTCATGGCTTATCAAATACACTGCAATAAATTAGACCTTTAATTTAATTTTTTTTTCATTTAAACTTTTTATTTTAAAATTTTCCTTTAAAAAGATTTCAAATTAAAATGTATTTAAATATTTTACAAAACAGGTGTCTATCATCATATGCCTCAACCTTATATGCATGTTCACGACAATCGTGAATTGGGTAAATATGTTCATATACCCAATCCTTATGATGGTGGCTATGGACCTTATGCGGGCTCCAATTTGCCCTATGTGCACGATGCCAAACCTTATGTACATGATGTCAAACCTTATGAGTAAGTTGTTAAGTTGTTTTTTATAAAAATAAACTTCTTACTAATAAAAGCAATTATTGCTTCTTTTTTACAGTCACAGTTTGTACACAGTAAGTAATGCGGATTTTAAAGTACCTGAATTACCTTTGGAATATGGTTTTCCCGATTATGCACCTAAACTCAATCACGAAGAATCAGAAACATCAGAAACATTATAAGATCAATACTAAAGTGCATGAAAAACAAATTTTACATTAAGCACCCAATCTCATTTGCCTCAGATTGTCCTAACCTAAAGCTAAAAGCAAAAGAATATTTGAAATTTTTAAAATTAATTAAACATTTTTGAATACTATCTTTTAAACCAACAAAAAACACCAGAACAAACATTTAAAAGTTGCTCTTTTAAAGCAATAAGCACACATATACTCACACACATACATATATACATACATATATAGTAATATAGGTTACAAATATTACCATTAAAACCCATTTACAAACCTCTCCCCTTCCCCTATAAATTGCATGCTGAATTCCCTCAATATCCTGCATCCTTATTCCCACTAGAGTTGTTTTTGTTAATAAAATACTTAAACTATAATTTCTTATACTTGATCCTTTTACCAAAATAAAAAAAATAACAAACAGACCACCACAACAAAAAAACCAACCACAACTACAAAACGTACCACTACTACCACAACAACAACCACTACAACACCTCGCAGCATAATCTTCAATTACGATGATGAGGGACGCCACAAGATTTTACATCAAGAAGATGCTCGCAAACACGATAAATATGATCATGCGTAAGTTCCCAGAAAACTTTAAATTCCCTGATCTTTAGTATATTTACTCTTACACTCTACTTTTCTAGTTACTTAACCGAGAATGGTATCTATGGTGAAGAACAGGCTAAATTACATCATACCGGTGGTACCCATGCCCAGGGCTATTACGAATACACTGGTGATGATGGTAAACTCTATCGTGTCAACTACAAGAGTACCCACGAAGGTTTTGTACCCGAAGGTGATCACATTCCTACACCCCCACCAATTCCGGCTGCTATTGCTCGTGCTCTTAAGTATGTCGATGACAAGCGCAAGGAAAATGGTGAGAAACCTTTGTTCGATGAACGTGGTTTCCGCATTGATCACATGAGCAAGGATATGGTAAAATCTATCAAATCAATTCATATCGAAAATATGCCCCAAGATATTGCCGAACAAATTCATGAATTACAATTGGAAATGGAAGCCATTTATGGACCAAATGAAGAACGTGCTGAAGAAGTAGTACAAGAAAATTATAATGAAGGAGCTAACTATGATGAAAACAATTATGAAGCAACAGCCGAAGAAAATTATAAATAATTTTTTTAACATTAACTTCATTACTTAATCATTAATTGTTTAGTTAGTTTTTATTTTTGAAAAAAGAAATCGTTTATATCATTATAAATCATTTGACAACATTTCAATTTCCTATTCCCTTATAACCCATTGCTACATTTAACTAGTAATTTTAAATCCTTACACCTAATCCCGTTCCCATCCAATTCATTCATTACATTTCATTAATAATTCGCCATTTTTTTAACAAAAGCTTAATAATGCTAAAAAAGAAAAAAACAAAAAAAAATAATTTAATGTTGAAATTATGTTGACATATTTTTAGTTATTAGTTATTTATCTTGAAGAAAAACAACAACAAACAACACATACACTCAAACATTTTGTTAGGTTTTAATTTATTTAAATAATATTAATTTAAAAACTCAAACAAATAAACAACAATCATTTTATTAATAAAACATAAACAGCTATTGTCTTGTTATCTAAATGAAAAAATTGCATAAATTATAAGGAATTTAAAAATGCTTACTATTATTAAAATAATAATATTGGTCCTATACCGACCTTAAAGTATACCAATCGGCTTAGAATCATTTTCTGAGTCGATTTAGCTATGTCCGTCCGTCCGACTATCCGTCCATGTAAACCTTGTAATCAAACTACAGGTCGTAATTTTGATGATAATTCAATGAAATTTGGCACATGATTATATATGGTACCAGAGACGAAGCCTATTGGAAATGGTTAACATCGGTCCATTATTTCACCTAGCCCCCATACAACTGAACCCGACGAATAGGGCTTTCAAGCTCATAATTATGTTTAATTTAATATCTCGACAAAAAGCTGCAAAAACAAGTTCTAGCTATATGACTCTCAAGAATTTTATAATTATATGGTCTCATTTGACCATAGCCCCTATACAAAGCCCCCTTCAAAATTTGACTTAAATGTCCTCAATTTTATTCAACAATAAATGGCTGAAGTAGATATACAAGGTACAATTCAACTTAAACGCTTTATTATGAAAACTAAATCACATTTTATTTTTGTAACAGGTGTAGGGTATTATATGGTCGGCCTCGCCCGACAGGAATTACTGTTTTAAAAATTCGAGTATAGCGATGAAATTCGACATAAATAAGTTTCCTTGTGCAGAAAAACCCATATGCTTCAAATATGTTTCGTAAAGAAGTTGTTTATTTTGAATTTCATCGCCGTATTTTTAGTAACTAATGAGAATTAAAGTAATTTTCTGAAGTGGTCCTTAAATGCGGAGTAGGATCAGTTATAGATCCATCTTCATCAAAGTCGGTAGGAAGATTTCAGTTACCATAAATCTTGTTTATGTCGAATTTCATAGATCTTCTGGTATTTTTATGCCAGTAATAAGCGTTAAAGTCATTTTCTGAAGGATCCCTTATATGGGGGTAGGGTCAATTATGGACCTATACTCCTAAAATTATGTAGAACGAGTTTTGTTCATACAAATATTGTTCATGTCGAATTTATTCGCTGTACTCGCATTTTTAGCCAGTAAGGACCCAGAATATATATACTTTTGTGGGTCCATGACCAATATTTCGATGTGTTATAAACGGAATGACAAAATCAATATACACCCATATTTTTTGTTGGTGGGTATAACAATTGCCGACCATAAACCAATAATTTTTGAGAGTTTATGCGACCAATTATCACAGAATTAAATAAAATGCTTCTATTTTTACCATAAAAAGCTTTAGTGGAGAGGATAAACATCTTAAAGTATACCAATAAGCTTAGAATCATTTTCATACCGGCTGAATGGCAATTTAAAACCTAGCGTGATGTTTAAGATATAATAAAAAGAAGAATATGAAAATTTTAGCATTTTTAAGGTTTAATAAGAAAGCGGAAAAACGGCTTTTAAGGTTTGTAAAAACTTTTGAAACCAATTCGACAGATTTTTACGTATTTTTAGCTACTGAAACTGAAAAGATATCAATGCTTTTCTCTGTCACCCACAATGAATCTCTATCACCCACAATCACCCAAAATATTACCAAACTAGTAAGAATATATAGTCGAGCATGGCCGACCATATGATATTCTACACCAGTGGTTATGTTACAAATTTTGTTTATTTTTTTAATAATATTTTAACAATTTGTTGACAATAAAGGGATTTTCTAAAATAGCGTTTATATGGAGGCAGGGGGTTAATATGATCATAACCTTATAAATTTTGGTAGACGGATTAACGTCTACATTAGTTATTTATGCAGAATATCACCGTAATATTAGTTGTTTATAAGTGAATTTTGACCATCAAGTCTTTTTCTGAAGAGGACTTTGTATAGGGTCAAATGAGGCCCGATCATTACGAAAATCATCATATCATTAAGACTTATATAAAACTAAGTTTTGCCGATGTGATACAAGAACATTTAAAATATTTATGAGCTCAAAATCCCTATTCGGGGACTACAGTTGTATGGGGGCTATACGAAATAATTTACCGATTTTAATCATTTTCCATAGGCTTCGTCAAAAGAAGAGTATGTGTCAAATTTCATCAAAATTATCTTAAAAATTGCGACCTGTAGAGTGAGCACAAAGTTTACATGGACATACAGACGGACGGACATAGCTAAATCGGCTCAGTAAGTGATTCTGGTATACTTTAAGGTGGGTGTAGGTAATTAATATAATGATGGTTTAATTTTTGTTTTAAACATTTTATTTAAATTTTATTCTCAATATATTTTAAATAAATATCATTGTTTTAATATTAAATTAAATGAACTTTATATTATTTAAAATCGTTTGTCATTATTTTACATTTTATATAATTAAATAGTTCATTGCTCTACAAGACTACTACAGGTTTTCGAGATAATCTTAATCTCCATTTTAGGCAATTATTAACATATATAAATCTGCTGAGCTGAGTTTAATTAATTCTCCAAAATGTAAATTTTTACCAAATTTACAGCGACACTTACTAAGATTTTAAAACAATCTTTAAACATTTTTATTCATATGTCATAATTATAAATAATTTTTATTGGTATTTTAGCAAATACTCGTAAAAATGATTTTGTTTGTTTTAACAAAACTTGCACAAAAATGCTAAAATATTGAATATTATTATTTTTAGGGAGAGTATTTCAAATGTACTTTAATTAATTTTATGACTAAATCTAATTAATTCTATATGAAAGATTTTATTATTTTGTGGAAATTATATATCTGATGTACATATCTATATATTTCAATAACCTATGTTAAATACAGACATATTTCAATGAAATTTTAAAAACAAAAAATTCTCACAAATCTAGAATATTTTATGGCGGCACAAAATATTATAAATATTAATATTTTATGATGATTTCTGTTAAGTAAACAAATGTGAACATCATTTTTAATGTTCTTAACAAATCTTAAAAATTATTTTGATTTATAACTAAAAAGACTTTCATGGTCAACCTGAAAATAAAAAAAAATTCTTCTTCAAGATGTAGCAAGAACATTTTAGATTTTGCTTGTTAAATATTATTAATAAACCTTTATTTTACCTTTTTTTTAAATACAATATTTTAGTTATTGTTTAATTTTTCCCTTTTGAATAATTCACATATGAGCAAGATTTGTATCTGTTTAAAAATTAGTCTTAATTTGTTAAAGAATGAATAACATATTTTTTAAACATAGGAAAATATCATTTTAGACCTATCAGATTTTTGAACTAATCTTTCTAACATCTAAAATAATACGTGTATTTAACGAGTCCGTCCGTCTGTATGTCAATGTAAGGGATGTTATCAAAATACATGTTTCAGATATACTAATTATTGTATTTAATATATTACCCATCTATTCACATGGATGTCAGAGTTCTTCGTTCAAAATTTGATGATTCTAGCTCTAATAGTTTCCCAGATAAACGAATTTTAGTAATTAATACATATAGGAGGTGCCACGCCCACTTTTGATTGTCCGCTAAGTTGTTGTCGTAAATATTCATGTTTATACTTAGTTAGTGACTCCGATAAAATGTGAGGTCTTTAGCAGTTATATTTGCTCAGATATACTAATAAAGGATTTGTTTATGGGGAGGTGCCACCCCCACTTTAACTAAGCCTCCGATTTTGTCCCATATGTTAATATGGATGTCATAGTTGTTCATTCATAATTGGACTCTAGTTTCTGAGATGTGCAACCTTAAATACTTAAAATTTTGAAGTGAAAGGTTCACTATAGTTCCATTTAAATGTGCAGAAAGACGCTGTGAACGTTTCAGAAAATTTCCTTGATCAAAATGTATATGGAACTTAGTCCATATATAGTTCCACTATCCGGTATTTAATTAATATTTAAGACATAGTTAATATTTAATAATGAATAACCGAATAAAATATTCTTACTTGTTTAGTGTAAACAAGTCAGACTGTTATAATCGAATCATATATACCCACTATCAAATCATATAGTACGAAGTTTACCATATAAATAAGCTTTGATATTTATGAATAGATGCTCTTTTTATTAGATTTATGTTAAATTTTATAATCGATATTAATATGAACATCAGGATGATATTTGGAATAGGCTTTTAATGAGGGCCTAAGTCAACTATAGACCGAACTCTTCGGAATTAAAAAAAAGAATAAAGCCTATTTTTCAAAAAATTTAACAAAAAATTGTTTTCTCCGAAATCATGAAAATTCAAGTCGCAGGTACCGCTAATATGTGAGAGATATCAATCAAATCTCCTTATTATTTTATTCCCCTCTTTATTGTCCATAAGTCACATGGATATTGTCCTAAAAATTTTAAAATTTGCTTAATAAAATTGCAAAAAGTTTGAAACTGGATTTTGGAAATTGCCGTCTGATGGGTTTCCCATTTAAGACTATACCCTAAATACGGTTTACGCTATCTAATGAGAATAAAAACTCATATATGGACCGATCCTTATAAAGTTGTACACATAGATTTTGGTCGAATTTCAACGCTATACTCATATCTTTAAGCCAGTGATGAGAGTGAGTAATTTTCTGAAGGGGGCTTTATATGAGGATCAGTTATGGACCGGTTATAAAACACGTTTATGTCAATTTTTATCGTTGTACTCTTTTTTTAAGCCAGTAAGGAGCATTAAAGTCATTTCTGAAGGAAACCTTATATGGGAGGTAAGGGCAGTTAAGGACCTATCCTTGACTATGTCGAATTTCATCCAGATATAATCGTTGAAGTCGTTTTTCTGAAAGGGATATGGAGGGTAAGACTAATTATCTATCCGTTCGGACCCTATCGTGCTTTCAACAGACAGACGGACGGACATGGCTAGATCGTCTTAGAATTTAATAACGACCCAGAATATATACATTTTTGTGGTTCCATGATTAATATTTTGGTGTGTTACAAACGGAATGACAAAATCAATATACCCCCCATCTTTTATGA